TCCCAGGGTATGAGGAGGGCAATGTGCAAAGCTGGGGGAAGGTGAAGGTGAGCAATGGAAGCCAGAGGTTTCTTGAACTCAGATAAAGCTCCTTCCCAACTCAACAGAGAGGAAACACAATGACCATAGATGTATTTGCCATTATATATATTTATTTTCTCTTTTTGGCTATTTACAAACCTTTATTTCAGCATACTTTTCAGAAGCATAATTTTATATTTCTTCATGTTTTCCTTTTTTGAATTCAGAATTGGTCATGTCTTTTTCATGCAAGAATTTACATTTAATAAGTACAAAGGGCACCAAGTCTTCTTGTGGGGTCTCTGCTGTTCTGTGCCCTTTTGCAGGTCAGGCCATCCAGGGCTCATGGATTTTGGTCCTCCTCCATTTTTGGTTTTCACTGCCTGGGCCCAGCTCCTCTCCTGAAGACATACATGTGTATATGTGTGGTTTTACTTTATTTCATCTGCTTCCAGAATGACACTGCCTTGGTTGGCTTCTGATGAATTCCCTGGCACTCTGGTCAGTTGCACTACACCTGGGCACCTTCAGTTCTGCGGATGACTACTGACCCTTGGGACGTAATCTGGTAAGATGGGGGGGGGTGTGCAAAGTCTCACACATGTTGAGTCAGCAAAGGTGACCCTGACCAACTGGGGCTATTTCATTATTGAAGTATATGAGGGAGACACTGTAACACTCTCCCCCTCCCTACCCTAAAAACTCAACACTGATAATAAAGATTTCATATTGATCACAGGACACTATACAACCAGCACAAACACACTGCACTTTGTAGGACAAGTCACAATTTCCTTTGATGCTCAGCACCACAGTAGGGTGCCATGCAGGTGGATAACTTAGCAAATGCATTCATTAATTAATAGCTCAGAGGATTAGGTTTTTTATGTACAGAATAAGGAATGGCCACAGTCTCAGCAAAACAGCTGTAAATATGCAAAGACTTTGAAGCCTTGCTACTAACAAGATGATATGGACTGTAAGAATACATTTGACAAGCTCTGGTAAGACTCAACAGATCCTCAGTTATCTCTGCTAAGGCACCCCACCGTGGCAGATGGAATGGGTGAGAACTTGGTAGAAAACATGTCCCACATCCCAACAACAAAATGACAATTTGGAGAAACTGAGGGTATCTTTTCCATGGTAGTGATAGAGAAGGGATTCTAGGGGGAAAGTTAATATGATAGCCCATGTGAGGAAAAGAAAGGGAAGGTGGGTAGAGGATTAAGTGGGGGTTGCTCCATCTTAGACTCAGCAACACCCTTCCCTCTGCCCAAACTCCAAATTATCTATCACCACAAGCACTTTCTGGCTGGGACTGAGAAAGGCTCCATGGGAAAAATCCCAGGAGTAACCTGCTAGATGCTCTGCACTTCCAGAGTTACTTAGTGTGAGGAGCAGAGTTGGGGAGGGGATATAAGCAGCCAGTTGGAGGAAGGTGTGCCTTCATCACTGGGGACAGCTGAGGATGGGGTTCAACAATGATGCTGAAGACAGAACATACATAGAACATGACAAGGGGTGATCTGGCAATTTTCAGGCTAAAATGACCAAGTCCATGGCAAACTCACAAGGTGCAAGTTTCTGAAAATGTGTCATTGCCAGACCTCCACCTCACCTTGACACTTAACCTCACACAATGTGAGTCACAGTAGAGTTCAACACATTGCAGCACATTAGGGCAAGATATTCTTTTTAAGGTATACTATTATATCTAGCTACATGGATCTATAGAGATATTTACAACTGGCCTCTCTACCCTTCTTCTGTGCTTTGAAGTCTTCCTGTGCATTGCTGCCAGACACACCTTAAAACCCATTTTTGTCCCCACTGATCCAGTCTTTCACCAGTATGACCTCACCTTAAATGAACTGCTTGCTTCCCATAGGACTCAAAGGCCTACCATGATCCTGGAAATCAAAATCCAAATCAACCAACCAATGTTTAAGTTTTTCTGTAGCCATGGTGAGAGCTTCACATGCGGGGTCATTGCTCCCTTCAACCTGATCTCTCTGTGAGGGGTGTCCAAAAGGAAAGAAACAATCTTAGACATTCCAGTGGCAACTCTCTTGTCTTTATGTGTCATACAAGATTTGTGTGTGTGTCTGTGTGTGCATGCATATGAGTGTAAACACATGTGATTGTGCTTATGAATAGATATGTGGCTGTATGTGTTTGTGCATCTCTCTGTGTGTATATGTATATAATGATGAGGGTGAGTGCCCAAAGCGTGTATGCGTGTATGTGTGACTATGTAGGTCTCTGTGGGTTTGTATGTTTAGGAGGCTATATTTATATGCTGCATGTATAGAAAAGAAGAGGCGAGGTAACAAACTGGGCTGATCTAGGCAGTTAGTCCTTGGGGCTCTCTGTACTTCTCTCCTTGGTCATCCCTCTGACTATCTCTTTGCCTAGAGGGCATGGAAAGAGGGAGTTCCAAATCCAAGGCTGAAGTTCAGCCAACAACCATCCTAGGATGGCTACTAAAGTGCCCCTGCCTCTGAATGGGCCCACCTCCATATTCCATGCCTGAAGCCATCTCCCAGGCACATTTGGTTCTCTGCATCCAGCTGCTAATAGCCAAATCACTGGGCCATTTCCTCATATCACCAACCTGTTTGGGGCTGCCTCCAAGCTCAGGCTTACAGGTGATTGAAATAAAGGGATAAGTTATAAAGGCTATACACAACCATCTCTCCTGTTCTTTAGTTCTTTATGTCATATTTGTGTTCTCAATGCATCTTCAAGGCATTCCAATCATGTCCTCCCAGGACATAGCAAAATGCTCTGCATTCTCAGCTTATCTCACTATTGAGCACTTCCTACCTCAAGGCACTAAATTATCAGTTACTAGGATTCTAGGACTATATTCACTTCTTCTGTGTGTTCTATCCAGGAGATAGCACAGATGGGTGGAGGGAGGAGAGGAGTGGATGGGGACAGGGAGATGCTGCTCCCTGAAACAGTAATTTGAAAGAAACAGTCAGTTAATCAGCCTGGCCAAATAGACACACCCCCCTTATGTGGGAATAGGCCAAGGGAATTCTGGTTGTTCCAGAAGAGCCACCAACAAGAAATATATATGCTTTCAGAAGTATTTCCTTTCACACTCATTCAAATCAGATAAATAAACATAGGTATGCACACATGCACTTAGACATACACACAGATTACATCCATGTGTGTACACACAAGCACCCACATACATAAATCACAAGTTTACACACTCTTTCATAGGGGTGCATACACACATATATGTATCCACACACTGTTATGTATACATTCTTATACACACCAGTGGAGATTTACACTGATATACATATAGCTATACAGCTTCTCAAATAGTTGTATGTGCACACAGAACTACTTTGATGTGCACACACATCCTAGTATACACAGGAACAACAACAACAAAAAACCCAGAAACACATTTAAAAGGGAAGATGGTTAATGGGTTGTAAGGGAGGCTGCTTAGAAAGAAAGCAGGCCCATAGGCTGAGTGCTTGGCAAATCTTGTTCTCCCATGGCCTCCAACAATGAGGTGGAGTTGCTTGGCATGTTGGAGCACAAGCTAATTCTACTTCCCTTAGAAGCCCCACTGGGTAGGCAGTGCCCATATTCCATGTGTTCTGTTCCTACTTGTCACAGGCCTCTTCTTGCAGAGAAATGCTCCAGGTGCTATAGAATGAGGTCTGGTGCCTGGCAGAACCTGATGGAGCTCCCCCATTTGTAAAGTGGAGGGGAGAAATGGGGAGTACCTCAATTGAGAGAGTTAAGAGGACAAGAAGAAGAAAGAGCAAGTGGGGTGGCTCTACCACTCACTGGTTGCATGTCCTCAAGCTCCATTTCTTCTCCTCAGGACACTGGGACAATGTGCTTTGCCTTCCCTGGTTCCCACAGCTCCTGTGAGGGTCTGACAATGTGATGGGTCAGTGAGCTTATTGACACTGCACTGGACAAATTGAAAGGATTAGTATAGAGATTTGCAATAGTTGTTCATCTGCTATTCTAGATCAGATGGTGAAGTAGCAAGTCAGAACTTTTATAACCCTAGTCTTCATTCACCAAGTGCTTGTTCTATTACTAGTTCAACTCAGCATCTGAACTAGACACATGTACTAAGTTCTTATTGTCAAGCATTCTGAAGCAGAAATATAGACAAGAGAAGTTCAATCCCTCCAAAGATGCCATTTCAATTTGGGTAATCTCCAACCTGACATCACTCATCTTCCCCCCGCCCCAAGCTTCTGCTGGAAACACTTACCCTTACATCTCATTTAGCACCCTTAACTACCTACCTACATTCTACTCTCAACCTTGTGCTACAACAACATACTCAAAATACAACAGAAAAATTGTGCGGAAAAGGCACTTTCAAAATCCTTCAATTTCCCTAGAACCAGTACCTTGCATTTCTAAGCCACAGCTAGCCCTTCCCCTGTGCACCCTAGCTCAACCCAGCTTGACTCTTTCCCATAAAACCCTAAGCAGAAGCTGAGCAAGGACCATAATCTCTAGGAGAAAAAGGCAGAAGAAAACAAGTAATGAAAAAGAAAATTCAACACTTTCGGAGGGTAGAAAAGTCTCCAGAAATATTTGTGTACAGGGCTCGGCTTCTTCTTCTGTCCCTCAACCTGGCTCCTCTCTGTCTTGTCAACATTTCCAGGGGTTTTTCTGTGCTTACTAGATATTAGATACTTACTAGAAGTATCTGAAAAGGTGACAGTCTTCTAATAGAAAATGAAAATCAAATAGCTATTTACCTCCAACTCTTTCTCAGTCCCTTTCTTTCCAGTCAGAACACATTCTTTCCAACTACTCCCCATATCATGTTTATAAAGAGAAAAGATATAACTGATTTGATTGCCCAAATAACCAAAAATAAAATGAGCAAAGAAAAGAAAGCAAAATGGAACCAAAAGAAACTGTGAAAGGAACATAGCACAGTGTCCTTGCTGCTCTGGGGCACTATGGGACTAAAAGCCATTGTATGGCCAGTAAATAATGTTGAACACCACAAAGGCAAGAGGGAAGAGGATCCGGGACCACTTATCAACCTTAGGGACATAGTCAGGATCAAAGAGCTCATAACAAAACCTTTCCCTAAAGGAATACCCAGGACTCAGGGGGCAATTACTGTCCTCATCAGATTCTGAATTACTGTCCTCATCTTGATCAAAGCCCATGAAATTGTCACCATTAGGGCTCCAGGTAGTGTCAACATCATGCTCGAGTTGCTTCCTAAGGTCAAGGTAGCTGCATTCAACTTTGATGTCACCAGGCAAGCTAAGGAACCCCTCACGGCATCTATGGATCTTATCAGGCCTGCAGCTTGCTTCTTGCACACACCTTTGGCCATGGATGAACAGATGCTTTCCACTGGGACCATGGCCATGGTTCTCATCCAGGCTGTAGCTCTTTCCAGGGTCTTCTGGGTTATGGGTATCAGCACAGTGATGGGCCCCACCATGATTGTGAATTTTGGTAGGAATAACACTGCCATCAAATTCAAAACCATTAAAGTGAATGTCACAGCTGTGCAGGGCCTGCTCTGAAGTGGAGGAGAGATCATTCAGGCTTTCTTCAGAGGCCAGCCAGGACTGGACCGAAAGAGGAGACAGTGAGCTGAGGCACTCTGAGGTGGCCAGTGGGACCTGCTCTGAGATGAAGGTCAAAGAGTTGAGGCTTTCTGGGTTTACTGGGTGGGCCTGCACTGGTATAGAGGGAGGAGAGCCACTTTGTTCTTTGATGTTAACCTGGTCATCCTTTGAGGAAACAGTGGATAGACTCATGAAGTCAGTAGATTCAAATCCTACATGAATAAGCACTTTTGGGGAGGGAGGACGGAGGGGTCCTTCTTCATTAGCACTTGTAATGTGGTTGTTGATCTCTTCCACTGACAGAATCTCTTCTTTCTGGCTTCTCTTGTACACACGGGGCTGAGGAACAGGACCGAGAGGCTGTTAGCATGTAAGGGAAGTCCCTGGTGGCTGCCAAACCTGTGTTACTCTGGGGCAGCTGCTCCCCCTGCAGTGCTGTATGGTGGACAGAGGCAAGTCCTCCTCAGGCAGGTGGGATTAGCCTCCCTGTGAAGGAGGGGGTGGTGCTGGACATTAATGTATCACCAGCAGGGAAAGTCTCAGCACAGCTTTGAGAGTTAGAAGAACAAAGGAAGGAAGGATAGACCAGCCTCTCTGGTGTCTGTTTCTTCCTTTCAGCCTCCCTGTGCTCCCTTTCTCTCTGGCTCCATTGCTTGTCCTTGGAAGCATGCTAAGTGAACTAGATTTGAAGACCAAAGGTCTATGGAAATCTAGCTCTGCCACTTACTAGCCTTGTGATTTTGGACAATGACTCAACCTATAGAAGAGTGATTATAAAATTTTCTACTTCTTTGTTATCTGGTGTGTGTGTGTGTGTGTGTGTGTTAAAGAAATTACTGAGAAATGTGAAAGGGTCAAGTGCTAAGCTTAGGCTAAAGAGGTACTCAGGGAAAGCTGATTATCAGTCAAGATATCAAACCTGCAGCCCCGACTCCTGGTAGTAATAGCGCTCCATGATTCTTCGGACTCTCCTGCGTTGCCTTTGAAGGCGCCGAGTTCCTACTCGACTGTAGAAAAGATAATTGACGTAGACATATTCCAGCAAGGATAGGAACACGAAGAAGAAGCATACAACCATATAGATGTCAATGGCCTTGATACAAGAAAATTCGGGGAGTTTTTCCCGCAGGTGTGAATTGATGGCATTCAGGATGAGCATTGCAGTCAGACCTATAAACAACATGACATAGGTGGCTGAAGTTCTTGGCAAGCCATTGGGCTCACATAGTACAAGAAGGGAGCAAAGACCATCTTTAGGGTGGGGAGGGTTCTCAGCAAGGAATGCCTTCAGCTCTCTAGGCCTGGGGCTTTTGCTTTTTGTTCCTCTTCCCCTATTGTTACACCCAGCCTGTGCTTCAGTGGTTCAGTGACTTCCCATTGCTCTTAGGATCAAGTCAGAAATCTCCAGTTATGATTTCACAGTTATTTACATTTCCAGACCCATTTTACCCAATAATGCCATTTCCCCTTTTGCCTTCTAGTCCGTAGGCTTTTCTTTAGTTTCTCAATACTAAATGAGATCACATCCCTAGAAAGTTTTTTGAGTCCTAAAATATTACAGAAATACAGTTTTAGTGTAGCATGTGCTTCTAAAGAAGGAGGCTGAGAAGTCTGCCTCAAAGATGGTGAAGGATAAACCAGACCTGGATCTGAGATACACAGAGAATTCTTCAGGGTGAGGCCAGATAAACTTAGGAGCTAACTTCTTAGGCCTCTCTTTGGTACTGCTCAAAAACCTTTGATACTCCCCATTGCTTAGCCATGAAATTCTAACTGCTTAAGCTAGATTTTTAACGTCTTCCCAAGTTATCTCTGGCTTTCTTCCTGCCCCAAGCACTCTATGATTTAGCCTACCCTTTTAAGGCCCCCATGCCTTTAATCAACCTATTTCCTCTCTTAGGGAATGCCAAATCTTGTGTCTCTGCCTCCTAAAATTCTTGAAAACCCAGTTCATGCAACACTTTCTTGGTGCAGGTTTAGCCAAAAGACCTGGGTCATTTCTTCCTCTGGACTCCAATGGCATCTGTCTCAGCACTTCACTAGATACTCATGGAGAGCAGCTCTTCTAAAAGCCCTGTGCTGCCTAGTAGGGCATTGTGATAGGTTACTTAATCAATGTTTGTTGTATTGCATTTCTTTTCAGTTTTTTCCTTTATTGAATTTAGAGAGAGAGAGGAAGGGAGAGGGAGAGAGAGATGAAAACATCGATGAGAGAGAACATCAATTGGCTGCCTCCTGCATGCCCCCCACTGGGGATTGGGCCCACAACCTGGGCATGTGCCCTGACTGAGAATCAAACCGGTGACCTCTTTGTGCAGGGGTCAATGCTCAACCACTGAGCCACACTGGTCGGGCTGTATTGCATTTCTGACCTGTATTTATGACTTGTCCACTCATTTATGTATCCAGAAAGTAATGAATTCTGTTACTTTGGGCCCAACATACAAAGATCTCTGATTTTTTTCACACCTGTTTCCAACGTCAGTCTCTCTGCTAGGGATTGGCTGAGTACCTATACAAATGATTGTTGGGTAGAACCCATCTTGTTTCCTTGCCTGTGCAGTCACACACTGTTCCTAGTACTCTTCTCTTACTCTCCCCTTTTTTTCTGAGTGAGATGACCCAAATTCCTCTCTGGGATTGGGGCAGGGGATGAGGACAGGACCTACCGACTGTCACCCTGGCTACAGAAGATTCATAGTTCATCCAAAATGTTATCCAAGAGGCAATAGTGGTGAGGATAGTAGGCCAATAGATCTGCACAAGGTAGTTGATAATTTTCCTCTGGATCATGAATCTCAGTATAAGTCGCACATAGGAACCTGGCAAGGAGACATACTGGTATCAGGGTGGAAGGGCTAAGGGAATTTTCAGGGTGAAGTATAGGATGGAGGAAGGGAAACCGATGGGAAGTTCAACCTCTAATACTCCAGCCTGGGCAATCTGCTGAACTGACCACATTTACTGCCTCAAGGCCAGTGACAGTGGCATGTGTCGCTAGGCCCATATGGCATAGCAAATCTACTTTCTCCTTCTTCCTTCTTTCCTTGCTCCGTGTCAACTGAAGCTTTAAAATGGGAGAGACAAGGCATGTGTCAAAGCTGCAAACATATGTAGGATGAGGAGTTAGCCCTGAAAGGAGGCCTGTTTTTATCAATAAGAGCATGAATTCTTTATACCTGTGGAGTCTTAAATCTGGCCAAGTGCTTCCACACCCATTTCCTTATTTGCAGAGAGCAAGCCACTGGGACTTTATGAAGGGTATTTTGGAAGGTTTCAGAACCAGAAGAAAATAGCAAAGGAGGCAGTGCAGAGTGTAGAGGTCCCTGGGAGTTTACTAGGGCACAAAAGAGACAAGAGAGAAGAGACAAGAAAGACCCACCTGTGTAGAAAATCTCTTCTTTGCTAGTCATTATCTTTCCCAGGAGGGTGAACTGAGGGATGTGTAGCTTCTCAGTCCCCTGGATGGCATTCTCATCACCTTCCCAGTATAACATGATGTCTTCAACTGTGTAGCCATCTGGGAGACAGAGGGAAACAGAACCAGTCAGTTTCAGAGAACACATATAGGCAGATTTTATACCAGTGCAATCTGTAGAATCCAAAGGATTATTGGAATCTGCACATTTAAGGGGTTCCCTTGTGTTTTCTTGGGTCTGAGCATGGGAGGAGGGCACTAGGAAAGATATCTCTCAGTTTGAAGATTTTTTAGCCAGGAAAGAAAGTACAGCAAAGATATGTGCTCCTACTCAATAGCTTGTACACAATATCCCAATAACAGGGTACAATTTCCTCATGGGACTATTTATACCCCAAAAGCTACCTTTTCCCATATTCCACGTCTGTATGTCTGTCTATCTATCTATCTATCTATCTATCTATCTATCTATCTATCTATCTATCTATCATCTATCTATCATCTATCTATCTATCTATCTATCTATCTATCTATCTATCTATCATCATCTATGAGAAGACAGATGGAGAGGGAGTAGGGGATATATGCCATCCCTCTCACTATCAAGTCTGTCCTTGATTTCATTATGACCACAACCACAGGTAGAGAAGAAGGGTCTATGGAAGATAGACATACAGCTCTCCACCTCCAGCTTGCAGGTCTGCTTGTCCATAGGGTATTTCTGAAGATTCATAGAACAAGCTGCTATGGTGGTGAGTCTGCAAAGGAAAGGCAAAAGGAAGGGAAAAGTGAGTCTAGCCAGGCAAGCAACCATTCCTGAGAACATTGCAGTGGTGGGAAGGGAGAGGTATCTTAAAGACTGACCCACCCAGTACCTTGCTGTACTGTAGCCTGCACTAGAATTTGCCCCTCCTCCCTCCCCCTGCTCTTCTTTATTCCTTCCTTCCTTCTTTCCTAGAGAAAAGATGAGTTGTAATTGTGTAGGGAGGAGAGAGGGAAATTGTATGTGACAAAGAAACCAAGAGATCTGGCAGGACTTGAACAAAGAACACATGTGTAGCATGCCAGAATGCCACAGGGTATCAGAACAAGAAGGGCCCTTGAGGAAACTGAATGCAGATACAGAAAAAAGACTATCTTGCTGAAGAAGCAGCAAGGCTGTCAAGAGGAAACTGTAGCACTGAAGCAGCTAAAGCTCTACATTTGTTGTGCGGTGGCTCAGGTGCATTTTTGGCCATGGAAGTGGCTCCACTCCACAGTGTTCTTATCTCTGTTTATCTGTCTATGAGGGTACTTTGAACTAGCAGAATGCCAGTGGGTATAAATGGAAAGGAGGGATTAACATATCTGAGGTGGGCCATGAAGTGTTGGGCAGAGGCTTCAAGTTGCTACATGTTGGGCCCATGAGAGGAATTTGAGGAGGGGTCTTGGAGAAGCTGGGGAAATGGAGAAGTGACCAGAGCAAACAGGAACATTTTAAAAGCTCTCTGCCACCTCAGCTGGAAGGCTCTGCCCCAGCCCTTTTCCTACCCTTCCCAGCTGCTGACCCCAGCCTAGTCCCTTTCAACCATTGAAGTGATTTCCATTTTTCACAGTGGGTAGGTGTGTATGTGTGTGTGTGTCCCTTTTGTGAACCCTCCATGCAGCACTAATCAGCTGAGGTCCCCTTTATTTTTTATTTTTATTTTTTCGTACATGCCCCTAGTAGGAACTGTACCTGGAACTCTCTGGTCCGCAGGCTGACAGTCCAACTGCTGAGCCAAACCACCCAGGGTGAGGTACCCTTTATTTTTTTTATTTTTTATTTTTTTATCCTCACCCGAGGATACTTTTCCATTTTTTGTACAGATAGAGTGGGAGGGAGAGAGAGGAAGGAGAGAGAGAGAGAAACATCGACGTGAAGGGACACATCGAGTGGCTGCCACCCGCACGACCAACCAACCAGGGCCGGGGACAAACTGCAACCGAAGTACGTGCCCTTAGCGGGAACCCAACCCGGGTCTCTCAGGACCGCAGGCCGACGCTCTAACCGCTGAGCCAAACTGGCCAGGGCCTGAGGTACCCTTTAAATAAAACAAGTGTAATTGGTGTCCTGTTCCCTGCAAGCTTTGTTGTTCTCTGACTCCAGTGCCTTGGTCAGTGGAAAGTGAATAGGCAAAGAAGAGGGAAACAAGAAACAGACCAGGAGCACCTTAGAGAAAGAGAGATCCAGAGAGAAAGCTGTACCCTGGCAGCTACCTCTTGGAGAAATTTTCTGAGCTAAATTTCTCTCATGCGTGTCTTAAGAGATGGTTTGTAAGAGATGATGTTGTGAGGAGAGTCTTGGTGGCCAGCTACTATACTATAAATAGACCAGTGAGGAGTTCCAGCATGCATACATTCTATGTGTGCATAGCCTCAGAAAACAGGCCCATATTGCACACCTCTGGGCCCTTACATGATGCAAATATAATCAATGGTAGAGATAGGTCCCCCTCCCTCACTGCATGGGCTTCAGCATTTATCTGTCTCCCTCTTTCACTGTATGGGAGAGAAAAGACACAAAGATAAATAACGGAATGTATACAATGCTAAGGCAGAGGGAGAGGTCTTCCAGTTGAGAGAATGAAGGAGGATTTCTTGACAAAGAAGACATTTGAGTTAGCGACTGAATGATGGGCAAGATTTACTCATGGAAAGAGCCATTCCAGACAGAAGCAACAGCAAAAGCCAAAGTGTGAAGACAGGAGAGCCGAGGATGTCTGTGGGAAATTGGGTAGATGAATGAGGGAGAAGTACAAGACAGGTTTGAAAAGCAATGGGATCCTCGGTGTGTCCCTTAGAGTGCATTTCTGGGATACTCAATGGGAAGAACAAAGCCTTCCAGGAGGCTCCCCAGACCCCCTGGGGAACTCACCGGATGCCATACTGTACCGTTCCATCTGGGTGAAGCTGAAACACACGATTTTCCACAGTCATGTCATGCACAAAGGCATCCTTGCTATTTAGAAAGTAGCAGTCAGGGACCCACAACTTCTCAAGCATCTGGTAGTCCAGAGTCAGGTTTAGGTCGGTCTCACAGTATGCTAAACGTGGATCTTTCCAGGTTTGATGAAAAAACATTGTGATCATACAGTCCTGGGGAGAGAAAGGTAAATCTCAACTGTATGCGAGGTTGTCTAGCTCTTCGTTCTCAGAGAGTGTGTGCATGTATGCAGGTGTAAGAAATACATTATAACTATAGATGAGTAATGACACATATGTAAGAATGTTAAATGTTAAGAATTATTAAATGACCCTTGGGTAATTAAAATACAGGATAAGAAATAGAACATTACCAATAACTTTCAAGCCTCAATGTATCTCTTCCAGAATATATTTCCCACACCTCCCAGCAGTAACCATTTAAATCTTAGAATTAAATTACAATAATTCTCTTGCCTTTTGTTAGTTTTATTATCTATGTATGTATTTCTAGGAAACATATTGCTTAGTTGGGCCTATTTTAAGATTATTTTTCTGAGTGGAATCATACTGGATGTATTCATGGCTTTCTTCTTTCATTCAACAGTATATTTGTGATATTCATTCAGGTTGATAGGTGTAATTAAAATTTATTCACTTGCATTGCTTGCGTATTGGATAATATTTCCTTATATGAATAGACTATGTATATTATTGTGTGAACACACCATTCATACCAAAATCACAATGAAATATAAATTATGAAGTGGAAGTTCTGCATTATACACCCTCCAAGAGTAGATGGGAGTTTCTAATGTTCCTGCCTTGCCAACATTGGTATTGCTGACTTTTTTTTTGTCAGTCTGGTAGGTATGTAATAGGGTCTCATTATGGTCTTATTTTGCGTTTCACTGATTAATAATAAATTCAAGCATCTTTTCATATATTTATTTGCTACTTGCTTTTCTTTACAAAGTGAAGTTCGTGTTCAAATTGTCTGATCATTTTTTATTTGTTTTTAATATTATTCTTATTAATCCACAGGAATTATGTGTATTTTCCATATCAGTCCTTTGTGTTACAAATATCTCAGTCCACTCTGATTTATCCTGTCACACTTGTTATGCAAGTTTTGTTTTTTTTTTGCAAAACAGAAATTCCAGAAGTTTTGGCTAAATAGAATTTTAATATAGTTGAGATTACCAGAGTTTATTTTTATGTTTTGTGCTTTCTGTGTCTTTTTAAAAAAGTCCTTAGGTACCATAAAGGTGCAAAGACAATAGCATTACCTTTTTTAAAATCTCATAAGCCTTTTAGATCTAGAATCCAAGTATATTTATTTATTTATTTTTTATTCCAGATGGTTGTAGTTTCCAAAATGACTGTGTTTCTCCATGTGAGCTCTGTTGCAGGTCAGAACAACTAGAGTTGGCTTATGACCCTGCCCCTTGTTCCATGTACTTTGTCCCGAGTCTTATGGTTGGAGCTGACACACTTACCATAGTTATTTCTGAGATGTGTTCAATACTGGAGACATACATAGATATTCCCACAGGCACAGGGTCACCTACAATACAGGAAGACACTATTACATGCAGGGCAGGATAAAGGATAAGAGTGTGGACTCAGGAGCCAGATTGCTTGGGTTTGAACCCATTTTGACACTTACTAGCTATGTAACCTTGAATAAGTTACCTAACTTCTCTGAGCCTTAGTTTCCTCATCGGTAAAATGAGGATCATTTAAGCACTGATCTCATAGTTTATGCAGGCCAAGCCCTTAGAGCAAGGCCTGGCCCCTGATACACTTAAAGGAAAGAAATTAGGAAAAAATAAAGATAAAATAAGGCGATGAAGCACTCATCTTCTAAATATTTTCCTGATAAAAACTCAGGAGTAATAAGCCCATAAAAAAAGCTGATTTTTGGTGTGCATAATATTTGTGTGAGTGCATGTGGTTGTGTTCATGTGTGAGGAAATGTGTGTCTTTGTGTGAATAATTGTGTGAACTGTGCACATGAGTTTATGTGAGCATGCTCACATGTATGAGTAAATATGTGAGTGTTCATGTCAGTGTGTACATGAGTGTATGTGAGCACATCTGTGTGTGAGAGAATGCATGAGCATGATTGTGTGCTTGAATCTGTGGTGTGAGAGTAAATGTGAGCCCATGTACATGTATATAGGCATGTTGTATGGGACTGAATCTATGAGTGGGTTCATGTGCAAATGAATGTGTTTGTGTATGAGTGAGTGAATGTGTGACTATGTGTGAGTGTATGTAAGTTTGTTAATGTGCAAAGAAATGTGTGAGCATGGGTGTATTTGGGAGCTTATCTGTATGTGTGTGTGTGTGTGTGTGTGTGTGTGTGTGTGAATGTGTGTATGTATGCCTGTGTATATTAGTGAATCTGTGTGTATTCATATGAGTGAATGCATTAATATGTTTATGTGTGCATGCATTGCATGTGAGTAAATATGTAAGCACATGCAATCATATAGGCATGTTGGTGTGTGAAAGTGAATATATGAATGTATTCATATGCAAGTGAATGCATGAGCAACTTTGCATTTGTGATCTTGACTGTATGTGTGTGAATTTGTATTTTCATGTATGTGAGCATATTTGTGTGTGAGTGACCACGTACATATATATGAGTGTATGTGAGATGTTTGCATGTATGAATAGTTAGATATTATTTAAATGTTTTTGAGGGAGTGAATGTGTGAGCCTCTCCCTAAGTATGAGTATATTCATGTGCATGTGTGAGTAAAAGGTATGTGTGTTTGTGAGGCAGTGAATGTATGAGCACATTTATGGGTGAATGAATATGTGACTATTTGCAGGTAATTGAGTGTACTGTGTAGGAATGAATATGGGGTTGTCTGTGTGAGCCTGTTGACATGTTAGTATATCTGTCAGCATGTCCCTGTGTGAGCAAATACATGGTCATGTTTGTGTGTGTAAAGTTGTGTTTACATGAGTGTATGTGAATATGTTTGTGTGTTGAATCAATGTATCTGTGTTCACATGCATAAGCATGTTTATGTGTGAGTCTGCATTAGCATGTTGAGTGAACATGCGAGGGAATATGTAAATGCATGCTTGAGTGAGCATGTTTGCATGAGTGATTCAATGTGTGTTTGTATGAGTGAATGTTAGTGAACTTATGAGCTTGTGACTGTATGCTTCTGTGTCAATAAACATGTTAACTCTGTGAATATATAAATGTGTTTGTGTGTGTGATCTTGTTTATATGGAAGAGATAAATATAATAAGTGTTCACATTCATATACTCACACTCATCACACTTATATATGTGAGCATGTGTGAGTGCATGTAAGCACAATTATGTGCTTGGGTGAATGTGTGAGCATGTCTGTGTGAGAGTAAACGTGTGGCCATGCTGATGGGTGAGTGAGTTCATGAGCATATTCATGTGTGTTAATACATCACTGTGCAGGTATGAGTAAGTTGTGAGCATGTTAATGTGTGTGTTTGTGCATACAGATGTCTATGTGTACTAATGAGTGAGCATGTTTATGTGTGAGGATGTTTGTGTGAATTGGTAAATATGTGGTCATGTTTGTGTGTGTGAATGTGTATGCTTGTGTGTGAGTGAATGCATGAGTCTATCTGTGTGCAAGTGTGTCAATGTGGGAGTATGTATATGTGAATGAATGTATAAGTTCATGTGTGTGAATGTCTAAGTGTATATGTGAGTGAATTTGTGAATGTGATTGTGAGCATGTTTGTGTGTGTGTGGCCATGTTCATGTGTATATGTGAATGTGTGAGCATATGCATGTGAGTATATGTCAGTGTGTATATATGTGTGAATAAATTCATGAGTGTTGAAGGGTGTTTGTGTACATTAATATATGTGTGTGTTATTGAATATGTGAGTGTGTTTCTGTCTCTTGACTTTCTTTTTCAGGCCTAGGTGTGAGTGCTGCCCATTCAAACATGAGCAGGGATGTGAAAATATGTACTAACTATAAGGTGTTGTGGAAAAATACATTTTTATTGTTTCCTCATTGGCTGAAAGCTGCCTTCACCAAGCCTCACAGCTAAGCCATTATTCTATGTGTATTACATCACACTGCTGCTCTGGAAACACAGATGACGCTTGCAATTCAGCCTGCTGGCTTCACTGCAGGCTGACTGTCCAGAAGCTGAGCTGCAAAGTGGGAAATGTGCTATTCCTATCCCAGTGCTTCAAAAAGCAAAGTGCTATTGGGAATCAGTGTATGAATGGCAGCTAAAAAGTAAATGGGCCTCTGTGTGAGGTCATAGCCCAGACTCCAGCATTCGGGGTTATTGTAAATTATACCCAGCAAAGTGATCTGTAGTGACAGGGGTTTCTAAAAATGAATTTCTTTATCATAGCCTCTCAGGTTCCCTACACACCTTCAGAGGATGGAAGCTGTGTTAGGCAGGTATCAAGACCCAGAGAAGCCAAGGAACCATCGCTTCACCACCTCACTGCACTGTCAAACTTCTTATTCTACCTAGACCATTCAGTGTCACTCAGGCAATCCTATCCATTACAGAGCACGGTCCCGTCCAAGGGCTCCCAGTTAAAGGGGCAAGTGGGAGCTAAAATTCAGTCACTAAGTCATGTGTTCTGGCTCAGGGATAGAGCCCGGAGGAAGGGGACCTGGGACCTTTTTCTAGTTTATCCACCTAGAGAGGACACCTTATGTGCTAGCAGTGGTCAAGATGAAAGCTTAGCTAAGGTATCCTACATCCCTAAAAGCATAAGAAAGGGGAATAAGAAGCTTTCAGATAAGGTGTCTAAATGCTCTCTCTGGAATGATGGCCTCAGCCCCATATCCCATCACTGTCCCTCCTGATGGGCTCAGGAAGGCAGGAAATGTGGGAGGGAGTAACCACTTCCCTCCCTCTGGGAAACTGTGCTGCCCCAACTCCAATACCTCTCCAGAATCCATCAGAATACCAGAGGAAGACAAATAAATAAAGGAATGATGATGATGTCCCTTTCATTCCTTCACTCCACACTTAATGTCATGCCAGGTGCTGGGCTAGACAAAGTGCTCAGAGACCTGCCTTTGGCAACACTGTGGAGTCCACTTGTCTTGCCTAGAAGGGAGCAGCTTTGTTAACTTTCCATGGCTCCTCCTCCTCTTCATCTTCCTCTTCTTTTCAAAGACATAATAAGGCTCCCATTTGAAACTGACCAGTTAGGTGTGGACTCTGCATGTGTGTGTGTGTGTGTGTGTGTGTGTGTGTGTGTGTGTGTGTAGCCTTGAAACTCTACTTCACCTCAGACACAGAGGGGAGTCTGACTGTCTAGTGGAAGGCTTTACAGAGAGTCCTGGGTTCCTTCAATCCTGAATACCCTGTCCCAGCTATCCCATTGATTGCTCCCCCCACGATACAATAGCCCCAGACTTAGAGCCTATAGTGGCTCCTGCCTAAATGCTAGAAGGTCCTGTGCTGTCTTTGCCCTCCTACCTTTATCTACTCTTCGGCCAAATCAGTGGTTCATTTTTTCTCATATGCCCCAGTCTACATGCTCATAAAGCTTAGTGTAACCCAAGTGGCTAGGCATTGGGTGTAAACAAATTCAAATTAGCTCAAAACATGGTTGCGAGGAGCCTTGAAGATATTGTGATACAGCCACACGTGACAATTCCCAGAGGTTGGTCCTTGTCCTGCTTCCTACACTTGGCCCTGGGTGTCTGCAGAGATGATATCTTGAAACAGTTCTGTGTACTTAAATGGCTGTTGGTCAGCATTTGCAGAGAAACAAGAGACTGAGGAAAAGAGAAAATGTAGTAGCTACTCCCTTGACACCTACTGGTGCTTGGTGAAACCAATCAAAAACCGGTGTCATGCAATGGGATGCTGGCTGTACCCTAACATTTGAATTTCCATATTGAATGAGCCTGCCTTCTGCCCTCTCCACTCCTGCTTCCCAGTCCCAGTGGACACTCACCTTGAATCCTGGGGCTGCACCTTCTGCTCTCATAGAAGGAGCACACAGCAAAGGGGGCACTAGCGAATGTCCCACCTCCAAGCTTAGCCCAGGGCAACCACCTTGGTTTTCAAGGTGCCTCCTCAGGAAATAACAGTCCCCCAACATTCCCCCCCACACTAGTCTACTACAAGAGAAATTTCCCACAGTTGAATGCTCTTTAGAGTGGAGGCATTGTGTATTCAGAAGGTCTCTATTCATATGTACAAATGTGAACCATTACCATTCAGTAACCCTTTAGAGTGTGTGTGGGGGGTCTATTTCTACGACCTGCAGGAAGAAGAGTGCTTTCTCTGATTTAGCCACTTTGTGTTTAAACTTCTTCTCTGTTCCTTTGAGCAGAAATGTGACTAATCTCTATATGCACCATTGTGATCCAGGCCATTCACCCTTTCCAAGGGGGGAAAATTATGTAGAGATATAAGGAGACACTGATTCATTGGCTTCCTGGAGGTTCATGTTTCAGTTTCTTTGTAATTTCTCATCTCTGTGCTTGAGATCTGCTGGGCTAAGGAGTTCAGATTTTATTATCAGTTAAATAAAGCCATAAAAAGTTCCTGAGGTGTTCAGGCTGAATTTACAAAGTTCACGCTGCCTGCAATGTGTTGAATAAAATTAACTTGGTGGGAGCTAAAGGTTTGGGGAGGGGGCCAGAGGCAGCAGTGCTCAGGACCTGGTGAGTAGGTGAAGTAGGCAAGACCGTACCCTTAGATTTTTTTTTTAACTGCAGGTCTCTGAAGGGGAGAGGCAGAAGTGTTGAGCCAGGGGAGTGCCACTGGTCAGCTTACTGAGTGGGGGTGGCTTGTTGTGTCTCATCTCTGTTCCACCTAACATGCGGGCCTCTGGTGTCTGGATGTGACTTACCTCCAAAATGTGGTCTCAGACGGGCATCATATCCCGATAGCACCCTGTCCAATATCTTGTGAACCACAGTTTCACTTGCACAATTTTTGCTAAAACAGAGAAGTCATCAGTAAATGCCACATTGCTTCTCAGAGAACAAACACCAGAGAGTATGCCAGTTGTCAGCTTGCCAGGGCCTTCCCTTCTCCTGCACATACCCAGACATATATAGTCGTACATGTAAGTGCTTCTCTCTGCTCTCCTCCCTCCCAACAGTGAGTCAGCCAGAAGTGCAGCAGTGACGCAGACTCCTCTTCCCCCTCCCCCTCCATAGTTTTTATCCAGAGGGTGGGGCACACAGATTGGATCCTGGTTACTAGGCAGAATTGGGGGTGGGGAAGAGGGGAGCCTGTAGGGGATGTGGAGAGGGGATGGATTGGGCAGGGGGGAGCCCTCAGATAAATGCATTACTTCAACCTCCTAAGGAACCTCACCTTACCATCTGCCTGGGTAAGGCTTTCTGGGTTGGTGGGAATCCTTCCAGGGACACCTAATTGTCCCAGGAAAGTCATCTTTTACCTTCAGTGCCCTCCTGAGCTGAGCTAACCAGTTTACATTCTCCAGCCCAGTCACATTTCCCCTACCTGGGCTAGAGCTGAGCATTTTGTTGTCCCGCCTATGTGAACCTTCTTTTTGTACACCTGTTTTTAATACTTGGCATAAGGCATGTGACACAGAGAGAGCCTAGTTCATGTAGCAGAGATTTATAACCCTCACCCAACCAAATCATTTCAGATTATTGAGGCTCAGGTCTTGAGACTTGTATTCTGGGAGCAGGCTAAGCATGTGCTTCCAACCTAGATGTGTCTTGGGTGAGCATATGTAAGTGGACCCAGCTCAGCCCTGCAGAGCTAGCCTTTCCAGAAATCTCTTATGTGCTCACCCAATTAATCTAGATCTTCAGTGGGGCTCTTTTCCCCAAGAGGGGCTTGTGGATTAGAATAGGCCCTGGGTATCACTATGACTCCTAGAATCTCAGAATCTTTGACAGTGGCCAGGCAATGTCAGATGTCAGTCCCTGTAAATCCCAGTGTGTGTGTGTGTGTGTGCAGTAGCCCAGTCTGGTATGTTGGGTTGGGGCTGAGGCCATTGCAGAGCTGTCTGCTGGAACCTTGCCCAACTACCCCCCCCTTTTTTTCTGACAACATGTTCATTTCTGGTTTGTTATTTAAAAAAATTATTTCCAATCATCTTTAATGACAAAATTTCATTTTGCATCATTCCAAAGTGTGCACATAAATTACTCCCGAATTAAAGTAATGCATTCCCAGCTGTTTAAGACCACATATTACCCATTTACCAGAGCTCAGGTTCCCTAGCCAAAGCAAATACACAATTTTTCGTGATCTACAAGTAAAGGATGGCAGTTTAACATCTCTTCAGATATTTGCAGACCCAAACAAACTTAAAATCAAACACAGAAAAAACCCCGAATCTTTAAATGTTTTCACAGAAGTATGTACAAAAGTGTACCCATCTAAGACCACCTGGTTATAGCTACCGATTGCACTGTCTGGGCTCCTGTGAGGTTGAGTCAATAATTTCTATCTGCGGCATTAGAAAAGGTCCTCACCGCTCAACACGCATATGCAAGAACACATGCGCGCGTCTCAGGGAACAGATGAAAATGCGCACTCAAACAGGTGTCTCTACTGCCTATGCTTTGAGAATTGCCCATCACCTTGCACCACCTCCATCCCAATCCCATAGCTGCCAAAAGATGCCACTGGGAAAAGCTGCCCAGGGTCTTAGTTCCTGGGGATGAATGACAGACCCTCGGGTGAAGACATCCTCTCCCCACCCCTAGGGCTTCAGTTTGGGCACGCACAGGGCTCTGCCAGGCGCCATAGTAACAGGTGGCCTCTAGCACAGGACTGTTTCAACTGGTCACCTCCACTCCTATCCAACTTCCCTCAGGGGACACACAGGCAGGGCCAGAGCACCAGGACTCGGTAAGCCCGGGTCCAAGTCTCCCCCAGCTCGCTCTGTCCAAGAGGCATGAGGTTCCCTGCCCTACTCTGTCGCCGCCCTGCCCGCCCTGGTGGCACTGGCTTACCAATTGAAGACGTTCTGGACGAGTTCTGGCACGGTAGAAGAGAGCTCAAAGTGGAATTCTGGGAGGGGAGTGGTGTCGTTGCCCTCTGAAAGCCATGTCCTGATGAGCAGCAGGAGCACAGCAGCTCTCAGCATCCCTCGGATGCCCATGGCCGCCACGCTCTGGGGAGGCGGGGGCAAAGAGCGCTTGAGAGAGCTCACTGCCACCGGGGACAGGGATGGGGTGGAGGCAGTGCAGGGTGAGAGGATGCTCGGGGGTCGCTAGGAATCGCCTCTAAGGAGACAGTAGCGAATGTATGGGGAGCAGAGATGGCGGAAGGAGCAGCCCCCGCAGCTCTGCGGCACGCATCGCCCCTTGGACGCGTCAGGCAGCTGTGATGGTGCGCTCCGTCTGCAGCGGGCTCCAGGCTGCAACTGGGCACCCAGCTGAAAGCTCGATTGGCTCCACCCACTCCGACGGCAGCACCCGCAGAACCAATCTCGAAGTGCCAGGAGCTGCACAAAAAGGCGCGCGTTCTTGTCTCCGCCTGCATACTGCGAGCTGCCCAGCAACCACTACTCCCACCCCACCCCCTCCACCCCTTCAGGCCTCTGCAGTCATACCTAGGACAGCCTGAGACAGGCAGGGGCGGGGACAGGCCCCTGGAGGCAATCTGCCTGCTAAAAGGCTGCGCACTGATCTGTGGCTAAGAGAGCACTGGCTTGGTCTTGCTTTTCCTCTCTGCAAAAAAAAAAAATGTAAAATATGCATTTCTCTTGGAAAAGTGTGTGTTCAAGAAGTCTGTTCTCTCTCTCTCTCTCTCTCTCTCTCTCTCTCTCTCTGGCGAAGGGATTGAGGTGATTTGACTACTCTGGCTGAATCTGCATTCTGAAAGAGCTGGACACATTTGGGAATCAGGAAGTATTTGACTGCTGCTCATTCCCAAACCCCTGACCCCCCAGTAACCCCACTGAATGGGTTTTATGATACAGAGGTGGCCATAACAGGGGTGCCCCTCCATAAGGATGGAAATTGGGCTTCAGGAGACTGAGAGTTTCTTGAAAACTTTAGTTTCCCAGAGTACTTTTGACCCCAAGTTTAGGTCCTTGGGACAAAACTCAGAGAACTAGAAGGGTTTACCAACTGAGATCACTCTGAGTTGTGACTCTGTCCCATTGCCAGGGCACGCAGAGTTGGAATGAGGGTCTATAGTTGACACCATGGAAGGGGAAATAAGGTAAAGGCCAGTGTTTCAGATAATCAAAGAAATTAGCCCCTGGAGAGCAGGCCATGTTAATGCTCCTAAATTCTGGCCCCATTATGTGGAAAAGCCTGAAATTTTGACTATAAGGCTGTTATTCTTTCCACTACCTCAAATACTGTTTTATGAAATGGAAGGATCTCAAAGGATAAGGACAATTCTCCACTCAGTCTCTTTTGTCCTTCCCATCTCAGATCCATGACAAAGCGAATTCAGAATGTGGTCTCTCATAGCCCATGGGCCAGAAGGACAATCAATAAATAGACCTCAGTCATGTTCACCAGTGTTGAGCCTCCTATGGCATGCTATTGAGAGGGATTGCACTGAAAATAAATTTCAAGTTCACTCTTAGTTAATTAGAACATTCACACAGATATACAGCCTTCTTCCCCTTTCCCTCAGCATTTGGTGAAGTGAATTGGGATTGTTTGTGCCCAGAAGAGCTTCAGTTGCCTGGCTGGCTGAGGTTTTCCGAAGGTAAGGGTTTAACTCTTTATCCCTGCTTTCTTAACCATTTTAGAACCAAACTTATAAAGTCTCATAGTTCTCTGCCTTCTTTTAAGGAGCAGACCACCGTTATATCTTCTTTTCCCTCTCTTTCCTCTCCCTTTGCAGCAAATGCTATCCTTCCCATGGGTGCAGAAATACAAAAGAATAGTGGGCCTATAAGTCACTTATTATCATAAATAGGAGTGGATCAGTCAAACCTACTTCTACTGCTACTGGTTCTGTCCCCATCTTCCCTGGTCACCCAGGCATCTTTGTAGAGATAACCCTTGTTCATAAAAGTGGAAGGGTCATTCCTGGTCATTTTACCCAAATATCTGGATTATAATATGAGCAAACAGGCCCAGATAAGGAAAAGGGATTAAACACATACAAAAATCACATAACCATAGAGGCCCAAACTAGAATCCCCATTTCCAGGTTTGCCTATTTCCAGAAGGTTGTGTGTGTGTGTGTGTGTGTGTGTGTGTGTGTGTGTGTGTGTGTGATTCAGCTTTGACTGGGAATTCAGGCAACCACCAGCAGGTGGGAGTAGATTTATTTAGATGCTGGATGTTCCCAGCAACTTGGAAACAAATTCCTTCATTTGTTAGGGAAAACAAGACTGAACCTTGAAGTTATAATTTTTGGGTGCACTGTGACTATGGAGAGTGCCAGAAAGTTGATGATTATGATGAATTCACTTCCAGACCTTACATCCTAGAGGGTCTGCACAGAAAAATAGCTCAGAAAGCAACAACAAAAATATACAAAAAATGTACTTGTTGAACTTTTGTCTAGTTAATCTATTCAAATATGCACAAATATACAAATTGAATGGACTAAAGCCTGAACATGGTATCATGGTGTAGGGGAAAGAGCACTGATCTGGAAGTTAGCCCATCTGTGTTCTGGACCCAGGTCTACCACATGGCAGTGAATGTTTCAGTTTGACTGGAGTGTAGGGTAAATTTGGAGTTACATATGAAGTAAGAGAGGTAAGAGGCAAAGGATTAGGCAGAATCTGGACTAGTGAGCACCACACACACAGTGCTCAATAAATAAATAAACCAAGAAAGAGATATTTGTACTTAATTGTCCAAACTAAGGGATTTGATTTTTATTTTAGTGTCAAACATAATCTTTTGAAGTGTTTCTACAGGAGAATGACTTGATCAGAGTGGTGACTTGGAAAAATCCCTGGTTACTTTGGAAAGGAGGAACTGGAAGGGAGACTGAGGACAATGAGAGTAGTTAGGAGGGTATCATATACCTCTGCTTCTGGTAATGACAGCCTAGGTGATTAGAACTAACTGTCTCAATGAGTTCAGGTAAATAAAATGGATGAAATATAGGAACAAATTATCTTCATAACAAGTTAAAAATAATTAGGCTAATCTATAGGTTCTACAAAATCCCTATCAAAATTTCAAAGGCAATTTTTGGTGTAGAACTAAAACAAACAATTCTGAAATTCATACAAAGCCACAAAAGACCCCCCAAATAACCAAAGCAATCTTGAGAAAGAAGAACAAAGTGGGAGGCATCACAATTCCTGATTTTAAACTTTATTATAAAGTTATAATAATCAAATCAGTATGGCACTGGTATAAAAATAGATACCTAGACACATGGAAGATAATTAAGAGCCTAGAATAAAGCCCAAGTATATACACAGTCAACTAATATTTGACAAGGGAGCCAAGAAGACTCAGTGAAGAAAGGATTATCTCTTCAATAAATTGTGTTGGGGCCCTTGCTGGTGTGGCTACATTTGTTGGAGCATCATCCCATACACCAAGAGGTGGTGGGTTCAATCCCCAGTCAGGGCATGTGCGGGAGACAGCCAATCAATGTCTCTCTCTCACACTGCTCTCTCTCTCTCCCCCCTCCTTTTTCTAAAACTCAATAATAAATAAAAACATAAAAATTAATAAAATAAAATAAATGGTGTTGGGAAAACCGGATAATGCAGAAAATGAAATTGGACCCCATCATAGAAAATATAGGGGAAAAGTTTCCTGACATTGGTCTTAGCACCTTTTTTACATGACACCAAAATTATAAGCAGCAACAAAAACAAAACAAAAAAAGGATTACATCAAACTAAAAAGCTTCCACACAGAAAAGAAACAATCAGCAACATAAAAAGGCAACCTAAAGAATGAGAAAACATATTTGCAAAACACACATCTGATAAGGGATTCAATAGTAAAAACACCAATAATCTGATTAAAAAGTACGCAGAGGCACTGTCTTCTTTTTTCCAAAGAAGACATACAAATGGCCAACAGGTACATGAAAAGATGGTCCACATCACTAATCATTAAGGAAATGCAAATCAAAACCACAGGGAGATATCATCTCTTACCTCTTAGAATGGCTATTATAAAAAATACAAGAGACAACAAGTGTTGGTGAGGCTGTGGAGAAAAAGGAACCATTGTACACTTGCTGGTAGTATACACTGGTACAGCCACTATTGAGAACATTATGGAGGTTCCTCAAAATATTAAAAACAGAACTAATATATGATCCAGAAATCTCACTTTTGGGTATACATGTGAAGGAAATTAAATCAGGATCTCAAAGAGATATCTGTACTTTCATGTTAATTGCAGCATTATTTACAAAGTCAAGGCATAGAAACAACCTAAGTATTTTCATTAGTACATGAATGGATAAAGATAACATTATATACAAGGTGGGGAATAAGTAGGTTTACCGTTGTTCATATGAAAAGTAATACAATAATTAATGAATAATAATATAAGAATAAACTCTTCTGCATACTCAAAAACTATAGACCTACTTTTGCTCCACTCTTTAAATTATATATATGTGCATGTGTGTATGTGTATATAAATATGTATGCATGTGTGTGTGTGTATAATGGAATATTATTCAGCCATAAAAGGAAGAAAACCCTGTTATAACATTGTGGGATCTTGAGGGCATTCTGCTAAGTCCAATAAATCAGACAGAGAAAGACACATCTTGTATGTTCTTACTTACATGTGAAATCTACAGAAGCTGAACTCAAAGAAATGAAGAGTAGAATAGTGGTTGCTAGGGGCTGGGGGTGAGGTGAGGGATGGAAAGATGTTAATCAAAAGGTACAAACTTTCAGCTGTAAGATAAATACATGCTGGGGAATCTATTTTGCAGCATAATGACTCTAATTAACAATGATTTATTATATACTTGGAAATTGTTAAGAGAGATCTTAAAACTTATCATCTCACACACACACACACACGGTAATTATGTGAGGTGATGAAGATTTTAATTAGACATCGCATTAATCATTTCACGAAATATACATGTATGAAATCATGTATACACCTTAAACCTATATAGCTTACATATCAATAATATCTCAATAAAGCTGAAACACATGCGTGCACACATACATACACACACACACACACACACAC